AAATTTAAAGTATTAATGATAATTACAATATTAACTGTATTTATTAAAAATAATGTATTTATTAATTAACAATATTTTTAATAATTATAGTATTAATAATTAACCACATTTTATAGTATTTTCAATAACTACAGTATTATTAATTACAATATTTATTAATTACAGTGTTTATTAAAATAATATTTTTTATTAATTCATTAATTAATAATTTTTAAATTGTTAATTAATGTAAGTTATACTTTAAATTGTATTTTAAATATTATTTAAATTACATTTTAATTTAAGCTATAAATAGCAAAAAATTACATTTAATGAATAGAAATTAGCCAAGAAAATAACCAAAAAAGTAAAGTACCAATAATTTTGTGATAATTACCAAAAATGATCCAAGAAATTACTAAAACTGGATTAACATGATTTCCAATAAATATGATAAATTACCAAAAATTAAAAATATAACCATTAAATTACTTTTTGAAAATATGTTCTGATTATCAATAATCTTCAAGAAATAAATGTAATTAGTTCATAGTGTATTTAAACATTATAATCCTTGCCGATGATGATATTAGTTCATAGTATTACAATGGGAAATAAAGAAAATGTGTTTACTATTATATATTTCCATTATTCCACTTTCACTCAACAAAGCCCGTGCATCCCACGGGTCCCTGCTAGTATGGTTTTATATTTTACACATGAACCACACAATTAATACTAATATCCATTGGTTCAAAAAATGAACCACCAATAAAACAACTTCTTTTGCATTGTCTAATTCATAAAAGGGAAAATTCAACTTTTAGTACCTTGAACTTTGGGGGTAGTGTCAAGTTAGTACCCGAACTTTCAAACGTGTACCCAAACTTTCAAAAAGTGTCAAGTTGGTCCAAAACCATTAACGGACATTAAGTATCATGTAAAAGGACAAAAATGCCCTGTACCTATCATCTAATTTTCTTATGATTGGTATCCAATCTCTTAACAATAACCAGCTCCAATATCAAGCTAGTTAACGAGCTTCTAAAACCATATCTTTGCAAATGCTCTCTGAAGTTGTAGTATCTTACACACATAAGACTCGAACCATTGTAGATGACACAAAATGTCTCCTATTGTGACGAGAAGAGGCACTGACAAGAGCAGAAGTGACACAGTCTTAGACCTCCTTCTAGCCAGGGATTTAAATATTGACACAATATTGGGCATATCGTATCGATATCAATTGATACACGCAAAATGTCGTGTCTCTCTATACATCATAGAAAATGCAACTATAACTATTCGAACCAGGCCATTCGTGCTTATCTTTCGCCACACTCTAAACCATCAAGCCAAGCTTCATCTTGCAATATTAAATAGAATAAAATAAATTTTATTACGTGTGTCGACATACAATTTAAACAGAAAACACATGTCTATATTTAACAATTCTAACTATTCCAAACAATAATATTCAAAAATAGTGTTTTATAAATTAATAGAACAAATAATCTATCAAGTCCATATTTATATAAAAAGATGATTTTTAATATCAATAAAATTATACAAATAAAATATTAATAATAAAATAATTATTTTAATATTTAAATTGAACATGATATGCATCTTAAATTTTTTATATATTTTTACAAATTATTAATTAATATTTTAATTTACATTAATAAGTAATAACAACACATTTATTATTTATAAAAGATAAAAAATATTGTTTACAAAATATTAAAGAATATAATATTAAATTGAATCTATCAAATCCACTAATCTACATTTATTTCAAAAAAATGATTTTTATTTTGAATTATTTATAGAAATAAAAATATTAACAATGAAATAATTATTATAGTAATTAAAAATTATGAATTTTTATAGGATATGTATCTTAGAAATTTTAAAAAATTTGATATACTTTACATTAATATTATATTTTTGTGAATTATTAATTGGTATTTTAATTTGCATTTGAGAATTTAATATTTAGTTGATTTTTTGTTAATGCTAGAAAGTTAAAATAGTAAAATAAAAAATAACTGATATAATAATTAATATACAATATGCATATGTGTTTAGTGTCTTGGACTCTTGATTAATGCATTATAAATAAAATTATATGATATATAGGCATCTTGATATATTAATTCTAATATATTTTTTCATATACACCATTAAAATATACATTTTTTATGTATTTAATTACTATTTGTGACTATTTTGGTCTTAAATTTAGTGTTATTAATTTGTATGTATTTCCTAACGCATCCATTTGTTTTTATATTTTTGTCTGCATCCATGCATTTTTAAAACGTATTCATATCCAAATTTTCTGATATGATACCTGATACCGATACTTTAATCCTTGCTTCTGGGGTTAAGTCCTCGCAAATTTGGAAATAGTCAGCAATGAACCATTTCATGAAGGAGGTCATCGGGTAGCCAAAACAATTAGGAACCACCACTAATGGGTGTCTATCCCGACCTTGTAGAGACCCGAGCCCATTACCACCATGTTCGACATCTCTCCCAATTCCTAACAACTTGTCTCAGTTTGTTCCCCCATTTGCATCGAGAATATATATAATCATATTGTAGTTCAGTATGCCATTAAAGCATTTTATCTGGATTTTAAGCTTGTAGAATTGGACCAAACAAAAGGTCAGATCATGTTGGGGTGGTGGATAATCAACCTAATTGGCTTTGACAACCAATACTTTTTGGATGATTGAGCGGGGTAAGAGATGGGACCGAGTTTTGTTTTTGTCTGGATTTCTCAGAATTCAAATGATGCTGAAAACTTGGTAAGTGAAGGCTTGTAACCAAGTTCCAACTTTATTTCTAATTCGGGTTGGGATTTTGTCAAACTGAGAAATTCAAGCAAAGGAGGATGGATTTCTTCGATCTTTGGCTTGTTCACTTGTGATAGGAAAAAGAGTAAAGTTCATACGCTTTTCTTTACTTCATTATTTTTTTTCCTTTTCATTACATGATCAACAAGACAACAACTCCTTATAACCAACTTGGGGAGCAGAGATGTGCAAACAAAGTGAAATAAAATCAAAGTTCTGTCCCTTGGCATTGGATGATGCTTGGTAACAGAGCCATGAACGGCTATAAGTATGGTTGTATCGGTGAGTAGATTGAATTATAAATAAGGGGTTTTACTGTTTTAGGTAGAAGAAATAAAGAAACAGATTCAAGCAGGATTCATGGCTAGACTCCAAAGAGAGGAGTTGTTTGTTGGGGTTGTTGGCAATATTGTTGTTGCTGCTGTCCATGAGTTTGTTATGAATTGAAACCAACAGCCACTGTAATAGGAAACAGGAGTGAGGTGGGGAAGGAGGAGAGTGTCAAACTTGCCTGGTCCTCTCTTCCTTCCCGTTTTGGTTAGAGGTGGGCCTATCATCTAAAGGTAGAAGGCAACAAACGGTGTCTTCATTATTCCAGAATCTCAAATACCTCAATTGGTTCTAATGGGGGGTAATTTGGTCTTCCGAATGACATCATGATAAGTGGCTTCCAAATGACACATCGGCGCTGAGTGGGCTGATGACCTTATCACCTCGGCAAGTTGGTTGGAAGCTCCTCACAGGGCCGACCTAAAAGTACCTCAGCCCAGCCGACCTGAGGGGACCTTCGACTAAGGAGCGACCTACCTTGGGGATAGGCCGAGGTAAAGAAAGTACTATCGATGACCTACGAGGCACACTCGTTGACTTGTCAAATAGATCTGTTACCATACCGAGTTCTCTGGAATATTAATGAGTCGACCGTTAGGCCGGCTTACCCACATCATGTGCATCAAGACCAATCAAACGAACCTTAATCCTCTGCACATATTACATAATCAATGTCATTATTCCCCCGACTTAATGGAAATGGCTCTATGAGAACCTGAGACCCGTTACAAGAAGGTCCCTGAGTACTCACACCTATATAAAGACCTCATTTCTACCTAAAGATGTATGCGCAATTAAGCTCTCGCATACTCTAATTACTTAAAGCATTCTAAAAAACCCTTGTTGACTTAAGCATCGAAGTGCCCATCCCAGGTAAAACAACCCGGGCATTCTCTCTCCTTTTGCAAAATTATACATCTCGGCCACCGATCACAAGCATCTTATTAGGCATCCGAGTCATCTGCCACATGAGGTTCAATCTCAAGGTAGAAGACAATGAACAATGTCTTCTTTTGAAGGGTAATTTTGATATTTTCAAAAAATTTAAGTTGCACATGTTATCATGTGATTAGATAACTGATGATCAGCTATCGACAGGGACTAACTTGACACTTTTTGAAAGTTTGAGTACAATAGTGACACATTTGAAAGCTAGGAAACTAACTTACCACTACTCCCAAAGTTCAAGGTACTAAATTGAAATTTTTCCCTTCATAAAAAAGGCACTATCATTTTCAAAAATAATTGTTTTTAAAACTTGTGTTTCTCCACAAGTTAATTAGGTGGAAAATAGTATTTTAATTTATGAAAATTCATTGAAATTCTTAAGGCTCAGTTTGTATTATATTATATATAAATAATTGTATATTTATATTCTTTCCAAACTGAGCGTAAGGGAATATTACATAAAACATATTCCTTTCAAGTCCTCCATAAGTGAACAGGAAAGGGCAACACTTGTGGTGACTAATTGCAGATACAATCCATACAATAGCAAAAGAAAATGAAATGGCGGGAGAAAAAAAAAAAAAGAAGAAAAAGGTTGATTTGATCTCAAAGATGCAACAAATTAAGTCGCTTTGATTGAATACAAAGAGTTCATTTTCGCTTCTTCGAGAAGGACAAATAGGACCATTGTCATTTGGCTAATGAGAAACAGGATTACTTGGAAGTTTGTTATGAGGTTAGGCCAAACATAATGACGTCGTCTCTTGGTCATCCACCGTCCAAGCAGCGAATATCAGCTTAGGATTAAGAACAAGTGTACCTGTACTTAATCAATCTGGACGCAGGTGTCTCCTCACCTCCAAGTTGCAAACCCTTTTGCACGATTGATCATGATTCAAGGTGGTTTGGTGTCAGCTTTATCCACAGTGTCTTCACTCTTTCATTTTCTTTATGTAAGGATTAATTGGTGGGTGGTTCTTCACTTCACAGTGAGATCGACAAGAGCAACCATGAAAGTGCAACAAGTTCTTCACATGATAGGAGGAGAAGGAGAAATGAGCTATGCCAATAACTCAACATTACAAGTTTCTCTCTCTCTCTCTCTCTATAAATGTTCTAATCTTTTATTTTTTTTTACAGGGTACAGCAGTATCAAATGCAAAACATGTAATAAGGGATGGCATACAAGATGTCTATTGTACCAATTTTCCTCCATGTCTGGCAATTGCAGACTTGGGTTGTTCTTCAGGACCCAATTCATTGCTTCTGATCTCAGAGATTGTAAACATTCTTGACGATATATGCCACCGGTTGGATCACCCATTGCCTGAACTTCAAGTGTTCTTAAATGATCTACCGGGAAATGACTTCAACACCCTCTTTGCGTCTCTGCCCAAGTTCTATGAGAAACTCAAGAAAGAGAAGGGTGATCACTTCAAGTGTTACATCACGGCAACACCTGGGTCTTTCTATGGGAGGCTCTTTCCAAGCAATGTTCTACACTTTGCCCATTCTTCTTATACTCTTCATTGGCTTTCTCAGGTGAGCAATGACTGTGTTTTCCTTATATCGAAAATAAGAGAGAAACAGATAGTCGAGAGAAAGTAATATATATAGTTAGTATTTGAAGTAAATTAATATGTAATTATTAATACCCACGTATTGCGTTATAAAACATTAAATTTGTTAGTTTCTGTTGTATTCTTATAAGAAAAAGATGTTCAATTAATTAGTTACACCTAAAAACTAAAATTGTGTTTATGCTGCAAATAACACATCTCGAAGATCTTAATCTAAGATAGGTTTTAATTGGGCATCAAACTTCAGTTCTTATAATATTAAAGGAATAAATAATCAAACTAGAGGGGAGGAATGAAATTTGCCTCTTAATTTATTTTATATTGCATAGTAAATTCTAATTAAGAAGAGATGTTTCTTGCAATGAAAAAAATGGTAGGTTCCTCGGGGGCTTGAGGGTGTAACAGGTATTTCCTTGAATAAGGGGAACATTTACATTGGGGAATCAACCCCTCCAGACGTGATCGATGCTTACGTCAATCAATTTCAGATGGACTTCACAGTATTTCTCAAGTCGCGTTCAGAGGAACTTGTTCCTGGAGGTCATATGGTCCTGAACATTGTAGGAAGAAGAAGCTGTAATCAATGGAAGAAAGAAGTTTTCAAACTCTGGGAATTGTTGTCTATGGCACTAAGAGAGATGGTCTCAGAGGTAGGGTTCAGTTCATGCATGTATTCCTTTTAATTTTAACTCTTCTTATCAGCTATTGATCATCAAACATTGTTTAATTTCTTTCTGTATAATTTACTTCAGGGGCTTGTTGAAGAGGCCAAACTGGATTGTTTTAATCTCCCTTACTATACACCTTCTGCCCAAGAAATAAGAGACACCATTCAAATGGAAGGATCGTTCAGGATTGATTCACTAGAAACTTTTGAAATCAGCTGGGACCCAGATGACATGGAAGAAGATGATGGAGAGGACAAAGATTTTGTGATTGATACATTCAGAAGCGCGCAGAACGTGACCAAGTGGATGAGAGCCATAGCAGAACCAATACTCATGAGTCACTTCAGAGAGGTAACGATGGATGAATTGTTTCAGAGATATACCAACAAGGTTGCAGAGCACTTAGGAAGGGAGAAAGGCAAGTTTGTTACTGTAGTCGTTTCATTGGCAAATATTAAGTAGTGAATAAACATGATCATCAAAATGTAGATTGTGCCTTAAGCAGCAACTGTCATAGCCTGGAATGGATTACCGAGTTAAAATAATTTCAACCAAACCAAACTCAGTCCCATTCAAAATTTTACAAATGCTCAACCCAACCTATCACTTGATTCGAGGGGTGAAAATGTACCCAGATAGGACTTTATTTTGGACGATAATCAACTTATAGCAGCAAGGTGGACGCTGCTGCATACGTAAGGGAAATTGCTAGATTGCCACGAATACGGATAAAGGTTTGGAGGAATAGTTTTATCAAATACAAATTTAAGGCCAATTTTTAATGTAGGTCCCAAGGTTAGATGCAGGGATATATATCTTGGTGATGCGAGATAAAATGGCATATTACTAAATGCGCTTGCCCACAGCCCACCTAGAAGACCTGTGAGTTCGAAAACCAACAAATCGCTTAAAGGTGCTTATATATGGGGGCAGTTGGATTCCTGCTCGCTACCCTTCAAATTTGAAATCTCCCCTGAAGATCAAAACAAGTCCCACATTAATTTGATTACCTGCAACAGTGTTAAGGTGTATATCTATAGCCTGCGAGTGTCTAAGGCAGTCAAAGAGTGCTCAGTTCAAAGCTCATCCTACCCCTATAAAGAAAAAAAGAAAAGTGAGATTCTTGCGAAAAATCTGTTTCCAATTGTTTTCAGCCATATTGTAGTATGCTGTCATGTTTAACATGATCAGTAAACGGAGGTATACTGACTAGGTCCCAGTGTCCGTAACTGCTTGTTAACAATCAAGACAGATTAAAACTTGTTGCTCTCCAGGCGGTTCCTCATGAGTTTTTCTCTACCTGAGTGACTGACTATAAGAGAGAGAAACAACCTTGCTCAAAGGATAAAGGTTGAAATCCATCCAACATCCTCTGCAAGCAAGCAAGATGGACACTGCATCTTGATGCTTGTTTAACAAAAGATGGTGCATATTCTCTGCAACAATCACGAAAGAAAAATCAGTAAGAGCTATTACTTATTCCACTTGTAAGTAGCAAAAACAAAATACTGCTTTTTGAGTGGTTGGGAAGTGATTAGCACACACCCCATTTTAGACAAACTTGGCACAACATCCATGGTGAAAATTAGGACGTTGTGAGCTCTCTCTTTAACAAAACTGGGATGTCTCTAAATCACTCCCTTTTTTTGTACAAGTATTGAATTGTACTGATGGAACAGAAAACTAGAAAGTCAATACAAAAACGTCACAGCAGCTTAGTTCCATGCTGCAAGTCTCAAAAATCAAAATACAAAGATCAAGATCAAGATATTGTCAATTATTCTTGATGATTCAAAGTAAATGAGAAAAGAATTTCCTTTTGGTACTTGCCCATTGAAGAGCGACACGTAGGTTCTACCCAGCTCAGAATGGAAAATAGATCTAAGTGTATATATATAAACCTTCTATTTATCATTTTCCTTCCTGCTTCTATTTTGCTTCTTCATGGTTGATTAGCATTTTACCATTGCTAAGCAGAGGATGATCTCCTTATTTTAAGCTAATGGGCAGGAATTCTAAGATTTTTCACCATATTTCTGATGTTTGCAAGGGGTTAAGAATAGAAGTACAAAGATCTGTCATCCGGTGAAAAATAACTTAAAAGCAAAAAAGAAGACAAATTTAATACTGGTGTACAGTTTCTCATTGTACAAAGGACCGGTTGATCAAAACAATTATACTTTACCTTTTCTCAAAAAAAAAAAAAAGAAGTCCTAGGTCTTTTGCCAGAAATTATGATCAGATCAATTTTAACAGAGGGCCTAAATATTTTGAAGGTCCAATGCACTGCATCACCTAACAAGACAATGCATTTGCCTGGACTAAATGTGATATACTGATATCTATGTACACCAGGCATAGGTTACCTATATTTATCAATGTCCTTCAATCCTAATTATCAGGGGAAAAAAAGAAAAGGAAAAGAAAGTTGGAAAATATGCAGCAAAAGGATATTTTTATTCAGTGTAGGCAAAAGTAAGTGAAATTCCAGTTAATAAAAATCAGGTGTAAGAGCCTTTTTGAATGGAGGATGTGATATTTGAGAGCATATTGGCATAACTAACTCAGTAGGCACACCATAGATGATAATTCACCAACTTGAAAAAAAAAATCATAAATCAGAACCACATAAAGCTTTACATAATCAATATGTCTAAAAGTTTTATTTCCAAATACATAACAATGCGGTCATCCATTTCAAACAACTGCAGCTCATATAAAAATTAATATATATATATAATATAAAGATAAACAAAAATTGTACAAAGAAAATGTTGTACCTGTATCAAATGCCCTCAATCTAGTATATCTCATCATCAGGAATATCTGGCGTCAAGAATTTTTTGGGGTCTTTACTTATTTCCTCATAGTTCAGTCTTGATTTAACCTTTTCTGGCACAGGCACAAGTGGTATAATGCTGTCTTTATCAATAACTCCATCTATAATTCCATATTCAACAGCTTCAATTGGAGACATGTAACGATCCCTATCAATATCTTTCTGGACTTGTTCAAATGTTCGACCAGTGAAGCCAGAAATAATTGTTGTAATATTGTTCTTATTATGCATTATTTCTCGGGCCTGAATTTCCACATCTATTGCTTGCCCACTAGCACCTCCAAGAGGTTGATGAAGCATTATCCGTGTGTTAGGCATCGCAAGACGTTTGCCTTTTGTGCCGCCACCAAGGATAATAGAAGCTGTTGATGCTGCAATACCAAGTGCAACAGTGGAAACATCTGCCCTCACAAGCTGCACCACATCGTAAATAGCCATTGTTGCACTGAACATAGGAAGAAAAGGGAAACATCATAAGAACAAACTTAGGGGAAAAAGGGGAAACATAACCAGAAAAACAACCAGGAATGCTAAGAAGTCCAAGCTTTTCTCTCAATCAAAGGTGACATCAGTAAAATGAAAGCTAAGAACTGGAAGCCTCAGCACCTAGTAAGCTTCACCAGAGATCATACAGTTGTGTTTTGCAAATCTGACTTTGACCAAAATTTTAATCATGTTCATTTTGCATCAACCTCAAGGAAATACTTGTCCTAAAGAAGGCAGTTTTTAAATGAAGCACAAGAATCAAGATACCTCAATGAAATGGCAAGTAATGTGAATGTCATAATAGTTTATCGGTATCATACATATAAAAAAATAAATAGTTTATTGGTATCACAATTTCTTACCTGCAGTTAATCCTATATATTACATAGTTAAAAATTATAACCAAGAAATTTCTTTTCTTTTCATTTTCCGCCTTTGCGCTTGGAGCAATGATGTAGCTAGTTAGGTATTAACTGAGGTGTGTCAATTGCTGGTTGAAAACCATTCCCAAGGCTTTACCAACATGCGAGATATAACATTTTTAAGCCCTAAAATTTACTCAAGGTGAGAGATCAATAACTCTGAATTTTATAAAACAATAATCAAATAAATGGTACACCTAAGGAAGATGAGAGGAATGCACCTCAAACCTAACTCTCTAAGTCCCTATACATCCAAAATGTATCCCAACCACCCAGAAACAAAGAAGCTGGGAGAGCAGCATGAATTTTACCTAAGCTCCCAAAACACCAAGTAAACATACTAAGAAATCTGCTAGATACAACATTCTTATCCTAAGATGTGGCCACAAAATCCAATATTTCTAAATTCAACTGAAACAATCATCACAGTCTACACAAAGTGACCAAGAATACCCCCAAACATAAAGACCTTCAAATAGTACTAGTTGTATTCACAATCAGATCATAAGAAGATAAGAGTGACTTTGTCGTACAAGGAGTGCAGTAGCATGTACTAGAATTTGGCATGATAAAAGCCCAACCAAAACAGAAGATGTCTCTCTGGGCATTGATTGAGAAGAGAGATACATAGCATAACTAGGGTTGATTGTCCTCAAACAAGATAAGCTTTTTATTTTGGTAATCCTCAAACAAGATAAGGTTGGGGTTGTACATTTACTTCCCTGCAAACCCAACAAACCTATGAGGCTAATTGGGTTAGAGCCAGGTTGAACGGTTATCTTTGGTACAAGTCTACTGATGGACATCAATATATAAACAGAGGATTACATGCTAAAATGGGATGAAGGACCAAAAGAATATCTCTATTTGCTAGATATATATCCTACTCTATTGTGATGAATTTAAACATATCCTCATTTTGCTAGATAATGGATTATACACTACCAACTTTCTAAGAGCAATATGAAACAATGCTGGAGTTGACTATATGGGACCACATTTGGAAATTGCTGAATTGGATGAAGAAGAAGAAGAAATTAGTATATAAAATACAAAATTAGTAAAGAAAAAGAAGAAAATGTGTTGATTGGACAACATTTTATGTTCTTTCTTACTTATTGGTTCAGGTTTTGAAGTCTTTGAGGGTTCAATACAGCATTTAGCAATGTTTGTGTTGATTAAACCCTAACAAATAAGAAAATAACAAAAAGAAATTAGTATATAAACATACAAAATGAATAACTTAGTTTAAAAATGTCTATTTTATAATTATAACCTCAAAAAATTAAGAATTTAAAAGTTTGTTATAACACGCTATAGAAAACTGCTTGGCGATTAGGCAAGGTGAGACTCCAAGGGCGCCTTGTCACCTAGGTGTCGCCTTGACAACTATGCTTCCCCCACAAAAACAACAAAATTTAGAAAGAACCCAAAAACAAGATGATGATAGCAAAAGATCACAACAACAACAAGATAGCGATGGTCCCAGCCATCTGGAAAGGGTTGACTGGATACAGTCCTAACCTTTGGCCTTTTTTTTTGCAAAAAGTGGCTGCTCTCAGACTCGAACCCGTAATCTCACACCTAACAATCCAAGATTTTACCATTACACCAAGTAATGATAGCAAAAGATAACAACAACAATAAATAATAATAATAATAATAATAATAATACCTTATATTGATAGACCACTGGCTTGCAAAAGATCATAACTTTGATACTCAAAGGCCAAAACACCTGTTTGCCCACACTCCCTTGCATACCCCTGCCTCTTTTTCTGTAGCTCTTAGTCTCTTATCCCATTTTCCTCTAACTTCTCTAGTAGTTGTAGTATTAAATGAATTTAACTTTACCTTCTTGTCTTTGGCAACCCTCTTCTCAATGCTACTCCTTACCTCTACAGCTCTACTTTATTCCCTGTTTCCACACTACTGCTTTACCCACTGTAGAGATATTAGGACGAGTGGGCCTTAGTTTCTTTTCTTTATTTATTAGTCTTTGTTTTAGATGTAGTGGGCCTCCTTTTATTGGCCATTAATATCCTTTTTTCTGTGTTTCTTGAGTCAGCCACCATACCAGGGGCACTCATGTAATTCCACCATTATTTTAATCAGTTCTGATAAAATACAGTTGGATGAATAGAGAGAGACGTGAACAGATCTCTTCTTCTTCCCTCTTTCCTCCATTCTCCTCTTCCTTCTGAACTTCTCCATCTTTCTTCCTTCTTTCTCCTTTTTCTTTAATTTAAGTTCAGATTCATTGTTGGTGTGATTCAAAACTCCCATCTATATTCCTTTCCTTTTAATCCAGCACCTTAGCCTGACCCAAAAATTTCTTAGCAGGGGCATCCACACCCATGAAGAAAAGACTACATTTTTACTCAGTGCAATCATTGTCTTGATTGACTCTTCAATTAATGTTCCATCATGCTCAAAAGTCTGTACCACATATTCCTTCAAACTCCCCTCCATCAGATGTATCAGAATAGACTTAGCTCCTCAATGGATTACTTTGAGAACCTCTCTCTACTGTATCATCAATTCTTCAAATCAAAGAAGATGAAAATGGCACAAATGAATCTGTAGGTTCCATATTGCAAAGCAAGCATGCATAGTTCTCAAGGCAACACCTAGGCAACAAGGCACCCTTGGAGGCTCACCTCACCTAATCACCAAGTAGCTTTGTACATTGGGCTATAAAATGCTTTTATATTCTTAATTTTTTGAGATTATAAATTTATAATTATAAAATAGAAATAACTAAACTAAAATATTCATTTGTGTTTATATATTAATTTCTTTTTATTATTTTCTTATTTGTTAGGTTTAATCAACACAGACATTGCTAAACACTGTATGAACCCTCAAAGACTTCAAAACCTGAACCAGTAAGTATGGAAGAACTTAAAATTTTGTCTAACCACAATAACTTTCTTCTTTTCCTATAACAAAAATAGGGGTTCAGCCCATATATTTTTTTAATTTTCTTTTTTTATTCTTTTTCTTATCATGAAATATGTTGATTTTCTATACTTTAACATGAAGTTTAAACTTTTCTTATGAAAATTATGGATAACTATCAAGGAAATATGGTTATGGAACCTAGGGAACTACCCTAGGATATATGTTTTTTACTTAAAAAAAATCCATCCCCTAGGCGACTAAGCACCCCCCCTGCCGTCTCGCCTTGGCGCCTTGAAAACTATGCAGGCATGTATGGGATGCCCCAAGTTTTTGACAAAATCTGGCATTAGAAAGTTTGTGCAGGTTGTGGTTGGTGTCAATTTATATGGGTTTTGGTCTTTAACCCTTTGCGAAAGTATGGATTATCGGAGCCCTATTGGCACATAGGAGCATCAATGGTCCAGTGAGGACCATCTAGACTGCCTTGTCCACTTTAGAAAGAGGATACCAAGTTCAATATGCAGAAAAGCAATAATGATTGGTTTGTTAAGACTTGCATTTTGGTAAGTGACATTAATTCAAGAGATGCAAATTCATGCTATGTTTAAAATGGTGAACATAAGATAATATATTTGAAAAAATGTATTTATGGCACAAAAAAGTTCTTATGCACTTTATTGAGATGAAATGGAGGATAGATTCACCTCATTTAAGTGTACTAGATCACAACTTAAAGGTGGTGATTGGATCATGAGGTTTTACTTTCTAGGATCACGAGGTTTAAGGGTGCTTGCTTGGAGATGATGGGTGCTAGAAGTTTATTTGATCCAAGTAGTTAACAAACACATAAATATTCATAATTAGTGGAAAATTATGCTTTCATTCCATTGAGATTCACTTTGATAGATGCTTGTGTTGGAGCAATTCATGATTGTTGGAAGAAATCCAATGAATTCTTGATTCTTTTTCTTGATGTTAGAAGTTTCACACAAGCATGTGGATAAATCTTAGTTTTATATAGTGGGTTCCTCCAGAAATTGGATTACCATATGCATTGGTATCTCCATTTGACCTTTGAGGAAACGTATCAAATGTGAAAAAAAAAAAATTCTTTTCACATCATCTTGCAGCAACTGAAAGCACTTATTTACATCTCTATTGACCTCAAATTAAGAAGTGGGGAGATGCAAGATACTAATGTATTCTTGGTTGACAAGCAAGAAGTAAGGCATTATTTTCAGAGGCTCATGTCCAGAGAAAACGACTACCATACGCGCACAAAAGCACTGACTAAAATATATAAGTTACCTTTTCACTAAGTAAACCACATTTATGACATTAAAAACAAACGAAAAAGAACGAAACCAAATTTTCACGGATTAGAAGCGAGATAACAAATTCCCAACCATGTTACACTTAAGTACGAAGATATAAAAAATTGAACCAAACGAAATTGGACAAAATCTAAGGAAAGAATCCATTCATATACGACCAAGAAAACCTAAATTGATACCTCAGAGAGCCACCGGGAGAGTTAATGAAGAGCCGAATATCCTTGGTGGAATCTTGAGCATCCAACAGCAACAACTGGCTTATAATTGCATCGGCAACGAAGTCATCGATGCTATTGCCCAAGAATACAATCCTCTCCTTCAGCAACAATCCCATCACATCGGATGCCGCACCTCTCATGGCAGTCTCCTGCGTCTGTGGAGCAACATAAGATGGGTGTAGAGGATAAGATGGTTTAAGATCAAAGCTAAAACCTGATGTATCGACGTTATCTAGGGCCTTGGGGCGGAATTCCTGAGAACTAGTCACAGAAGAGGAAGAGGAAATGCGGACTTGGATTTCTTGAGGAGGGGATTTGCATCGAGAGGTGCGAAGCTTAAGGGATGCACTAGAGGTGTGAGGTAAGAGGAAAGAGGGAGGTTTAACGAGTGTAGACATGGAGAGGGGATTCATGACCAACTGTCTGCAACAGAGAGAGAGAGAAGAGGGCCGAGGAGTTAACTATTTTCTCCAGAGAATGAAGAAGAAGAAGAAGAAAAAGAAGATTGAGGATATGATGCCTATGTACAAAATTACAACGATACCCATGCAGAGTGTAAAACAGTAAAAGCACTGACATTGCGGAAGTGAGGGTGAGCATTCGGTTTAACCCTCATATGAAAAACCGAACCAAAATAACTAAACCAAGAAAAACCGAATCGCTGAATTTCATTATAATATATTATGTATTATACTATTTTATTGTTTAATCCACCCATAAATTTTAGTACAGTTGGAAAGTAACATGTGGCCCGTGGGGGGAATGGTTCAAAATTCAAGGGGTGGTGAATCATACGTGGAATTTGATGAGGGGTAATTTAGCCTTCTAGTGACATCACGTCGCGTGGTACTTCTAAACTGTTACATAACACCTTGGTGTCACATCGTCAGTGTTGTGTCCTTATCAAGTCAGTCAAAACCATCTTAGATTCACCTCGGATGCACCTTGGATCCACCTTAAATGCACTTCGCACGCTTTGAGAGAGTGAGCGCACCTCGGCCTAGCCTTATGCGATGTACGCACCTCAGCAAAGTAGACCGGAGACCTCAGTAGGAGCAGACTGGAGACCTCGGCAAGAGAGCCAACCTCCTGCAGAGCACTCACTAACCTGACCAAGGTCTGATGTGGCGACCTATGTGATGTGGCAATCGACTTCCGCTACGTGTGATTTATCGTCTCCAATTCCTCCGAGATCATGTTGCTTAATCAACAAAATTGACTTCAGTGTCGCATGTTTCGAAGATAATCGGATAAGCCTTATCACTATCCACTAAAACCACCTCCAAGGGTGGCGGGTTGATAAGCCATGTTCCCCCGGAGATCATGAACATGCTACACAAGACCCATGCCTATATAAAGGCACCTCCTTCAACCATAGAAGATATGCGCGATTGTGCAATGAAATCTCTCTTGCTTTCTCTACTCTCATTGCTGACTTAAGCATTGGAGCGCCCACCCCAGGTAGTCTAATTGTTCTCTTGCAGCTTGGCCAACCAACCTCACCAATCCGACATCCGAGTTGTCCTTCAATAGGAAGCTACCAGATCACGCACCATCAGAGTTGTTGGTAAATATTATTATATATGTAAAAAATTGGTTTTTTATTAATTAAATATAATTACTAGATAAAAACCAACCGCATCAGAGTTTTTAAAAAATCAAAATAATTGAACAAAAAAATGAAACCAAAATTTTTTTTCTTTGAAGCAAGTAATACTCCCACAAAATGCTACGGACCCTGTTCCAACATGTCATTATAGTTGGGAACATCTCCCTTGTCATTTTAGGGAGACATGTTCCCAATGTGCATTGTTGACACACTGTGTTGGTAGTTGATCCAAACTCCTTAAAAGCATCAAGGAGCACAGAGCTTGGCCCAGATGGGCAATTGATCTCATTGTTGTCAATTGATTGGATTTGATCCGATCAATAGAGACTCGAACCCAAACCTCGATGAATAAATGTCTTACACTGGTTCCAAAAAAAAAAAACCCTATGCTAATCCCTAACGAGTCTTTAATTGGGATTATTGTCTATCCTTGGAAAAAAAGACTTGTAAATCTATTTATTTATTAATTGTCATAATACAATAATATTGAAAATATAGCATAAAATAGGTGTTTTCTATGGGAAGAATGTTGAAAGGGAAAGAGATCAAAAGGAGACGAGATCTGCCAAGGAAATGGAAGTTATGGGAAATTCCAAACCGTGAACCAAAGTTCACATGGACTAATAAAAGAGAAGGAGAAGACCCCATATCAAAGCAAAATTGGATATGGATCTCTACAATTATAAATGGAGAGACCTTTTTCCTGAAGCAAAAACTCACTATATCCTCTCATGGTTCTTACCATTTTCCCTATGTCTCAATAGTGATCTAATAAACATAAAATTTAGGAAACCATTCTATTTTGAAGAAATGTAGATGACACATGATAATTGTGAAGAGTTTATAAGATCAAGTTGGAACAACTCACATGCAAATCTATCTGTGGCTAAAAAGTGTAAATCTTTGGGTAAGGACTTGAGAAAATGGAACAAAGAGGAATTTGGTTTGCTACAAGATCAAATTGATAGTGTGATGCTGGAATTATCTATTGAAAAAGCAAAGGCTGGCTAGAAACACAATGCAGGGAAGGTAGAAAACCTTGTGAGGAATCTAGACTTATGCTAAAAAGGGAAAAAATATGTTGGTTTCAGAAATCTAGGATCAATTGGAAGATTCATGGTGATAAAAACACAAGGTTTTTCATAAGGTTACAATGAGAATAAGAGCCAATAATAGAATCCTTGAAATTAAAGATGAAAATGGAGAGTGGTTTGAAGATCAAGATCAAGTGGAAAGAATTCTAGTAAATCATTTAAGCAACTTGTTCTATTCTACTAACCCTTTAAACATTGAGAGGGCTCTATCGGGGATCCAAGAATTGGTTACACCTGAAGATAACAATGATATGCAAAAAGAGGTCACAGAGGATGAGATTAAAGATGTTCTGTTCCATATGGCCACAAGGAGAGTCCCAGGTCCAGATGGCTTCCCAAACCTCTTTTTTTTCAAAGATTATGGGAATTAGTGAAAAGTGATGTAATCAAGAAAATCAATGACTTCTTTAAAGAGGGTATTCTCCATTTAGATCTTAACTCAACCTTCATTGCCCTAACCCCAAAAGTCAAGAATCCATTATCGGTTTCCCATTTTAGACCTGTCAATTTATGCAATACTATTTACAAAACTATTGCAAAAATCCTACCTAATAGATTATAACCTATCTTCTCAATGATAATTTCACGGAATCAAAGTGCTTTCATTATTGGTAGAGCAATGACTGATAATATTCCGCTAGCTCATGAAATCATGCATTTTTTGAAGCATACAAAATCCTCAGTAGGATCCATGGCAATAAAACTTGATATGAATAAAGCCTATGACAGAGTTGAGTGGTTTTTTCTAGATAATGTCATGGAAAATATGAGCTTTGGGTCAAAGTGGAGGGATTGGATTATGAAATGCATAACTTCAATATTTTACCAATTGTTGATTAATGGGAAGCCTACAAAAAGGATTAAGCCTAGTAAAGGGATAAGACAAGGGGCCCTCTCTCTCCTTATCTCTTTCTCATTTGCTCAAATGTTCCATCCATGATGCTAAATGGGTGAGTAGAAGGGAAAAAGATCGGTGGAGTTAAAATTTGTAGACAATCCACAATTATATCCCACTTATTCTTTGCATATGATAGTTGCACATTCATAAAAGCCAACCTAAATGAAGGTAATGCTTTAATGGAAGCCCTGACCCTATATGAAAGAGCCTCAGGACAACAAGCCAATTACTCAAAGTCAGAGGTCCTTTTCAGTTCAAACCTTCCTAAGCAAAAAAAAAAAAAGAAAAAGAAAAAGAACTCTTTGTTTAAAAAAAAGGTAAAAAAATCCCTCCATTTATTTGGGCTCTTACCTGAATATAGGGAGGAAGAAATGTCTGCTCTTTGACTACCTTACAGAGAGAGTGGAAAACAAAACCAATGGTTGGAAGGGTGCTTATCTCTCCTACGTTTGTAAGGACATCAAAAAAAAATCCAAAAGAAATTTTGGTGGAGAGACAATGAAAGAAATAAAAATGCTAGATGGATCCATTGGGCCCAATGTAAAAAAAAAAAAAAAAAAAAAAAAAAAAAAAAAAAAAAAAAAAACCAAACCCAATGGGGGTTTAGGCTTTAGAGATCCACACTCTTTTAACCTTGCTCTTCTAGCCAAGCTAATTTGGAGACTCTAAATTATGAAGAAAGCTTATGGGCCAAAACTATGAAAGCAAAGTATTTCCCTCAATGCCACTTCCTACATGCATCTATGAGAAGTAACCCATCTTGGGGTTGGGGTTGGAGAAGCATAATGGAGGGCAGGAAAGTCCTTGAATAAGGCTTGCTATGAAAAGTAAACAAAGGGGATTTGATTGATCCTTAGGAGGACCCTTGGGTTCTAGGCATGAAAGATTTTATACCCTATATATGGACCTAGACCTAATCCCTCCACAATTGGAGTAATGGCTGATTTAATCAAAATAAGAGGAAAGATGTTGGGACACATAGAAAACAAACAATTCGTTCCTTAAGTGTGAATCACAAAAAGATTATCTCAATCAATCTTAGGAAATAATACTTGTGATGAAAAAATCACGTGGTCCCTCAATGAGAATGGTCAATTTTTAGTCAAATTAGCTTATTTCTTAAGTATTTCAAATGGTCTCATGAATGAAGAAGATCAACCAATAGCTGTTTTACGTAAGGAAGACTATAAGGTGATTTGGAAATTACCTTTAGAGCAAAAAATCAAGTACTTCATTTGGAGATGTTGCCTTAATGGCTTTGCAATGAAGTAGGACCTCTTTAGAAGAAAAATAATCTCCCCCTCCCCTAACTATGACAGATGCAAGACTCAAGAGGAATCTGTCATCCATGCACTTATGCTCTATGAGAAAGCCAAATGTATCTGATTGGGATCAGGATTGGGCATTAGATCGGTTGCAGATAGGGACATTTGGGTTTGATAGTTGGTTTCACAACATTTCTATCTATCTATGGAATATTTGGAAAGATAGAAATCATCMTTTGTTTGAAAATGAGGATACTATAATTCGGAAAATGTTTGCAGACTCCAACTTTGTCTAACAAGAAGATTGAATGGGTTCCACCAGATGCTAGTTAATATAGATAGCAGTTTTTCGAATAGCTTTAGAGGTTCATTTGGCATGCTGATTATAGACAATTTTGGTTTTTTGTTGGGGTATAAAAGGTGGAAGCATTACTGTTAACTCACCATTAGAAGTTGAAACAAAGGCCTTCTATGGAACCGTTTCTTTTGTTTCTAATTTGGGTCTAGAGAAGGTGCTTTATGAATATGGTTGTCAAAACCTTATAAACTGTTTGCTTGAAAAAGAGTCTTGTTTCACCGGTGTATTGTTCATATGTAATGATATCAAAGCTCTTTCTGCATGGAAGTGTT